TAACCGATTATATAAATTACGTCATTAATAATTTAAGCTCCCACTAAATTCCGCATTTCCTTAATTAATCCAATTAATTAAGTCGGTAGCACCCAAACTTGTCAAAATGAAATTTTGCCAATGCCGCTCAACACCGAGGCCTAGCCTCCCAAAATTTTAATTAAAATAAACAAAGTTAATTAAAATAAGTAAAACGGCAAAATAAGCAACATCAAGCCTACTATGGCTAGCCACCTCACCGCACCAAGTATACACACACGCCAAGACCACGAACACACGGCCCACGGCACACGGCCGCGAGCTGCTGCCACGGCACAGCCGCGCGTGGCTGCTGCAGCCCGCACCTGCTGCTGCGCGTGTGCTGCTGCCTTGCGTGGCTGCTGTCGCGCGTGTGGCCGCAAGTAAGATGGTGCTGCCACCTTGGCAGCCACATATGGGCTGCTATGCAGCCCGGCTCGCCAAGGTGATGCATTGCCTCGTTTTGCGTGCCACGACCTCGGGATTTGATCCCTTTTCGCGAGACAACAATAATTAATTCTAAATTAATTTTAGAACTAATTTAGAGAGCAAAATAAAATTTTAAACAAGTCTAACTTAATAAAATTTTCAAAGTGCAAATAACCAAAATAATTCCAAGAACCATTCTTAATTAAATTGGTTTAGCTTGGTGCAACATAAAATTGAGGCAATTTCTCAATTTCAATTTAATCAATTTAAATTAAACTTGAGAATTTGACAAAGTAAAGGGAAGTTGGAAAAATATGAACTTTTAATGTTCAAATGAAAATTCCAACATCTAAATTTTGTGAATCCTTGAAAATTATATCTTCCAACATGAAGATAACCAAATTTCTATCACAAAAATCGAAACTTTATGTTTCCAATCAACTCAAAATGATTAAAACATCAAAGTTTAACACAAAATAACATGGAATTTAGTGGTTTTTAAAGTTTCAATCACTTATCACAATTAAAGATTGAATCTTTAACACTTATGGAAGCCTCAAAATTTAAACTTTCACACTAAAAAGCAATTAGTTTGCAATTATGTGAAAATAAATCAACCTTTAAGCATCAAATACTACCAAGTAAGTGTGCTTTAAGGGGACATAAAATTGCAGAAAATAATGCAAATAATCAACCATATAATCAACAATTTATGCCACTAATTTCAAGGTTAGAAAAGACCTAAAATTTTTCGTCAAAAACGAAAAACCCCTCGAAAAAGGCATTTCTAGTCAGAATTTGGCTAAAATCACAGTCAAGCATCATTTCCAATGCCCAAAGTTGGGTATTTATAGGGAATGATGGAGTATGAAAATCTCTCCCATCAATGTGGGACAATGAGATTTTTCTCATTTTATTTTAAAGCTAAAATAAAATTATTATGCAAACTAGTAATAAATCAACAAGTGTCAAGCATACATGAGAGAGTAGGTGAGGACCACTTGGAGATGGGGACCAAACTTGCTCCCCACTCTCTCCCTCACCTTGTGCCACATGGCAACCCACTTGCTCCCAACCTTCCCCTTATACACGGCCCTATGGCCCGAGCCAAGCCACGAGCCAAGCCCGAGCCCGGCCCAAGCCCAGCCCGCAGCCAACCCGCATCTGGCCCACACCCAGCCCGCACCAGCTGCTGCTGTGGCATGGTGCGGCTGCGACTGTTGTCGTGGTGTGGCTGCTGCCGTGGTGCGGCTGCTGCCGTGGCGCGGCTGCTGATGTGCCTAGCCATGGCTGCAGCACGGTGCGCCGGCTCGTCTTTCCCCTAGCATTCGGATGCTCGGGGCACTCTGATGCTAGGGTATTTTCGGGAATATTGTTGATTTATTATTATTTTGCGCGTCTCGTCTTTTATTATTTAGACTCGACTTCCGACGATCGGTTTCGACGCTCTAAGCTCGAATTACCGACGTCTAATTATTTAACACTCGGGCGACGAATTAATTTCTTCCGAATTAATTCGTCGAGTTGGTTCGCATATAATTGCTTGGGTGTGACCCGAAGGGTTCAGTCAAGATTAAGCTGTAATATTAATTATATTAATATTACTGATCGGAAGCGGCCTCCACCCAGGCATTCCGATCACTTAACCTTACTGAATATATTAGCTTTCTAATAATTCTGAACCCGCTATCAGAATAATACACTTGTTCGAAGGACACTATTCCTTTCAAACATGTATGTTGATTAATTAGAAGGTTAATCGTATAGAAATTACCTTCAGTTTCATTTGATTTGGATGTTTGTGCTGAATTTGAATCAATTAATTTACGAGGAACCACTTGATTGTCAATTGTTTCTTCTGCATTGTCAATTTGATTACCTCCAAAAATTTGATTACCTTTAGTGTCAGGATTATTATTATCGTAAAAAAATTGGAACAAATTCATCTCCAAAGCTCTTTGTTTCTTCTTCTTCTATAATCAATCGATTTAAGTCGATTTCAACAAATGAATTTGATTTCTCAAAATCACCTAACAATGGAGTTTCAACTTGCCTCTGATTTTGTAGAAATTTGTGGATCACATTACTGCAATTTGAGTTATTGAAGTTCGCTGATGTATTCTCCATTGATGATCAAAGCCTCAAGATACTTAAATTAGCGTTTTCTATCTGCATTTTCTCACCTTCTCTCTCTTCCATTGTTATTCTGCGATTTCTAAGTTCGAGTTTTTTATTTTCACGAGTTTTGTTATAGAAATTAAAAAAAAAAAAGTATTTCACACGTGTGGCAGCCGCCGATTTACAATAAATTTATTGTAACCGAGGGTACCTAAAATTTTTTGCAAAATAATTGTGGTAAAATCAAAATGATTCTGGAAAATGAAAGCATGTAGTGGATGACTAAAGTGATTGATTAAATTTAAGGGTACCTGATTCAGAAAAACAAGATAAGAGATCGAAGAGATTGAGGAACATACAAGTCAAGCAAGGACGACATAATTGAAGTCCATTTGAGAGTGCATTTCTTCAAGGATTGGACCCAGAAGCCATGCATTATACATAGGGGCGGGGCAAAGAATTTCGGGACCCTGTGCAAGATCTTAAAATTGAGACCCTGAAAAAATCTCAATTACAAAATACTAATATTATAAATAATAATAATAATAACCGAGAATCACAGTACAAATACAAAAATTTTTTAACAGTCACTTAAAAAGTGCAACTCTTCTAGCATATTTTACAAAAATATTAAACTACAAACTCAGGGTTTGTTCTGTTCAGCTTAATTTCAGTTCAGTTTAGTTCAGTTCACCTCCAATCAGTTCAGTTTAGTTCATTTCAGTTTCTAATTTCCTTCTCTCATAAAATATTCATTTCAGCTCTACTTAGTTAAGTTCAATTCAATTCAGCTCAACTCTAATCAGTTCAGTTCATTTTAGTTCAGCTCAACTCAGTTCAATAAATCAGAACATGCCCTAATTGATTTAATTGTTGTTATTTGAGACTCAACTTTGTATAATAAACTCTCTGAAAACCTTGAATGTGAGATTGAGAGAGAATAGATATTAGAAATAAAAGAGGAGAGAGAAGCAAATAGACATAATAAAGCTAGAAAGAGAAAGAGTAATAATGAATAAAAAAAATCTCCAGGTTTTCAATAATCGTTGAAATGTAACAATAAAAAATATAAAAAAAATTACAGTATAAAATGTAACCATTTTATAGTTAGTAGGGGACTTGGGAATATGGGATACAGCTTGCAAAGTATGACTTTTTATTATAAACTATCCTTTTGGCCCGTGCAATGCACGAATTGTTCACCGAAAATTGCATTGTGAGATGAGTTAAAAAATATCAATAAGTCATTATAAGTATAAAGTGTAATCGAAAATATGATTAAAGAAATTATATTGTTGGAATTTTAATTGAAAATGAGGCTTAAATAAAGGAGTTGAAGGGGCTAAAATTAAATAGAGAAAAAGGAAAAGGTTGAATTGAAAATAAAGTGTGCATGAAAGATAAAATATAAGTTTAATAAAAGAGTTAAAGAAAGAATAAAAGCATTAATAATGTAAGAAAACATGTAGCACTTGGGTTAGAAAATATTCCAACCCCTAACCTCCCTTCAAAATTAGTTCCTCTTTACTAGTGAACCAAGGAAATCATTGCAACATGTCCTACTCATGATACAGTTATATCTAATTCTGGGCCCCAAAAAATACGGGGCTGTCGCTCAACCGCACTTTCGCTGTCCTTGATTGTACAGATGCAATTCTTTGATTCGATTCTTTTGATTTCAATTTCTATTTCTTTAAAATATTTGAGGATGAATAAGTGCTCTACTTCCCCCTTTCTCCAAATCAAAATCAGGATTTTATTTATAACTTCATCCACTTAATATATCACCTAATGAAAATCACTCTTGACTGGTCAACGGGAGTATCGATCTTTCTTTATTGCCCCATCAAATATGGCAAACAAACGCAGGTCAACTCCTTATCTATCTGTTTAAACTGATAAATTACAATCCTTTCATATGATGAAAACCATGAGAATATGAGACACTTTGAGAAGGAGAACAGGGAAGATGGAAATAAGGGAGGAAGAAGGTGAATAATCATTCAAGCCTTTAATTTAGGCAGTTGATGAGTGGGAGGAGAAAATTAGTCTAACCATAGTAAGTCAGATTAATCAAAATTTCAATTACTTAAACGTTTGATTAATGTTTTACTTACAGCAGTTAATGTTAGATTAGTTTGAATGTACTATTGATAATCAAAGTTTAATGAAGTATATCACAGATAAAAGTCAAGGCCACGAGTATATACATAAATTCCCTAGGTTCTTCTTTTTTATTAAATTTACCAAAGAAAAAATAAATAAAAAATAAAATGTTAGCAAAGAAAATTACCTTATAAAATTAATAAAATAACTTTCATATCATTTGAGTGTTTTCTTTGAGTTAGTAACTTATTATGCACGACTGGAAGTGAAGGGGGTGAAATATGTCCTAAAAGACTTATATATGCCACTTGCAGTTATTTAAACACAAGTAAAAAAATAAAATTGATTGATTTTCTGATAACTTGACATCTCTTATGGGAAAATGGACAGAAAAAGAATTTAAAAAAAAAAAGGAAATGTATTGTATTGTTGGATAATTGAATAAACAAAACCTCTGCAACAAATAAAATTATTAGTCAATTGCATATTAATGACAACATTTGTCAATTAGCTCCTACTCAGAAAGTACAAAAAGCGATTTGGCCTGGAATAAATATTAAAAATAAACGTATTTCGGGAAGGGCATGAAGTTGTCTCCGGTGACAAGTAACGACCCTCCTACCAACAATTCCGTGTATACTTGTATCGATGAGCTCGTCTATAACTGCAGCTTCTGCTCCACGTTAGACCTCAGCGAACATTGGGGTTTCAAATGCAAGCAACGAATATAACTTCTGGCGTGGCCAAGTTACTCATCAACTACATAAAAGTATATCAGACAGATTTTTGCAGCATTGGCGAATAAGACATGAGTGTACAGAATCAAACCAATCACCTCTCTGAGACAGAAGCCACTTTCTGATTAATCATGGCTTCTGCTGTACGAATTGCTCTAAGTGAACCAGTGATTGTCACTTTCCTACAGTTAGTAGAGCACAAACAACGCAGGTTCAATATAGCTTCCCAAAAGAAAACAGGATTTGTGACGTCAGCAGGTTATTACCTGTTAGATGTACCGGACATGAAATCACCTCTGTCTGATATCTTAATTCTCGCTCCACTAGCCTAAAGTATAAAATAATTAGCGATAATACAGTATAACAATTAGCCATTCAATTTGCAACAAACAAACCTACCTGACTGATTTCAAGTATGTTCCTTCCACCGCGTCCAACAACCACACCAATATGCTCATCAGCAACACCAATCGTCAAGGAGTTACCTCGATCTTCCTGCATGTGAGCAAGCATCTTGGATATCAAAAGAATACAACAGTAGATAACACACAAGCAACTTGCCAAATTCCATAAGCCCTTAACCACTGCTTCTGTGATGTTGGACCATATAATAGTTGAACACTATTATTAAGATGCCGTGTAATCCTGAAACAGTATAATCAAGTAATTCATTTCTAGTTCATTCCAGACTGTGCACCACAAGAAAACCAAAGCCCAGACGGTGAAATGTAGCTCACCAAGGGGGATGAGAAAATTGGGTATCACTGTATAATGAACTGGCGAAAGAGTAAGATTTTTATAGGTAGTACAATATAATTCAGTGAGTAGTATCATGAGGAAGATAAATGAGCTAGTGAAAGGAAAAATGCTACTTCTTTGTCCCTCTAATATGGGTCCAGTTTCCTTTCTAGTTTATCCCATTAAGTTTACCCGTATCATAAAAAGTCACGAGGGGCCACAATTCTAATCTGACATACACTGCTTTTGGTCCCACCAACTTTCTCTCAACTCCACCAAACCAAACCAAACCAAAAATTAAATGGGGAAATCTTAGAGGGGCAAAGTGAATAATAAGAGCAGTGTGAGACAAAACATGTTGAATATTAATGAGTGCTTCTCTTCACGTTCTTTTACAGTTTGGGAGAGATTGAGAGACCAAGGCTTATCTTTTATTGTTCTTATTATTCCATAAATTAATTACGTATCTTCAATTCTTCTATTAATTTTCATCTACCCACTTTATATATTGCCCGATTATGTGAATCCATATTCCATAACACACTGGTTCAATTCTACAGTCTTACAAAATGCAATCAGATACAATCTGACTGATTTATCCATGAGCTTGACATAAGTGATTGTCAGGTAAAGCTATATGGTTTTAATTCAAAAGGTTAAATAAAAGAATAGCGCAAACTAACTACCTTAGAACATTCAAAAATCACACAATACAATAGGAAAAGGAAAAAGAATTATGAGCGGTTTGAGCGCTCATATTGCCAAGCAAGTCACCCTAAATTTTCAAGTTGGCCAGGTTTCTACTCCAGCCTTGAGAGAACCATTAAAACTAGATCCAAATAGATGAGCTTATTTCTTAGTTATTCTCCAAAAGTCAAGTTAACCAGAGAAAATTAAACAGCAAAGTTCAATATAGTCCCTCCAAACAATATGTACACAAAAGATACTAAATTCATCGAGCACAAAGAAAAAATTGGGAACAAAATGAACCTTGTTACTCGGATATCTTGCCCCAACACCATTTGGTCCATAATTTGCATTGTATGTTGCTGTTCCAACTGGAGGATGCACATATGCATATGGCACACGGTGAATACCAGCAAACAAAACACCTAACAATGCAAATTAGAATAATTCACTGGGATTCAATGTATTCTATTATAAAAGCAAATCATTAAAGAGGAAAATAGGAGCTACATAATTCCATACGCTCCACAGAGGGATGGGGGCACCAAAAAAAAACAGAAGAATTTCAAAAGGCAAACAGAGAGGGTAAGAAACCAACTTCATATTCTAAAAGCATCCGGCAGATAGAGATAAGGCAAAGCAGTCATAAAAGAATAGCTCGTTACTGTTGAAAATGAAGAATTTCAAAAGGCAAACAGAAAGAAAAGAAACCAACTTCATATTCTTAAAGCATTCAAGCACATAGAGAAAAGGCAAAGCAGTCATAAAAGAATAGCTCAATACTAAAAAAATAATATGGGTCAGGCAGAGCCCCCTTTTCTAGATCCTTGGTGAGAGAAGGTTCATACAAGATTAAATAAAACAATCTTAGGAGTTGTTTGGTTTGCACGAGGTAAACGGAATGGAATCAACAGAGGGAAAGGAGGAGAAAGGAAAAAGCTAATCCCTAAAATTTGTATAGTTTTTTGTTTTACATAAAAAAAAAGAGAATCACATTTGCAACCACCACTACCCTCCTCCTTCTACAACTAGCTCTACCCTTTCAATCTTACCATTCACCAACCACCACCACCACTTTAGCCACCGCCCTCCTCACGACCTACCACCTACCACTGTCTATCCTGTTGTTCGCCCCTTCTGCCACTGATTTCCTCCCTCTTTGCCGCCGTTGATGCGCTCTTCTCTGTCAATATTGTTTTAAAAATTTATAGATCTAGTTACTAGGTTGTTTATAAGGTGTTACAGATTTTTTTTAGATGTTTGGGGGTAATTAGGGGTGTTTATGTTGAGATATAGGGGTTTTGGGTGGTTTTTGTGGTGAATCTAGAGATTTTGGAGATTGATGGGTGGTGGTTGTGGGGCTAATTTCGAGTTGGGTGTGGTGGTTTTCGAGGAGGGTGAGTTTTTCGGGTGGGTTTAAATTGATTTGAGTGGGGTGGTTTTCAAGGAGGGTAGGTTTTTCCGAGTGGGTTGAGGATGATTTGGATGGTGAAGTTGGCCAGTTGATGGTGGTGTTTTCGACAATTGGGCGGTGGTTAAACAATGGTGACGGTGGCTAGGAGGCGGCCATGGTTTCTGGCGGTGGTTTTAATCGGTTTTGGTCTCTAGCAATGTATTAAAAAGCACAAGGCGCACTGAGGCGAGAGGGGTTCTGTTGCGCCTAGGCGCACCTAGTGCACCTCTTTGATGTGAGGCACAGTATATGGGCAGTTAAAAATTTTTGGCTAAAGTTTGCCTCAAGTGTGCCTTGGGTGCGCCTCGTGTGCCTCATGTGCGCCTAACCCAAAACGCCTCGCCCACTTAATTAAGCGCTCACCCTTGATCGCCCTGCGCCTCATTAGGCGCGCTTTTTCAAACACTGGTCGCTAAGCGTTAGTTTTTGGGGTGGATGGTGTTTTCAATGTTGGTCAAAGGTAGTTACAAAGGTGTCAATGTACTTGGGTGAAGAGGAGTATGGGACTTTGGGGGAAGGAGTGATTCCCTGTGGGGGGGGGGGGGGGTAGAAATAAAAGTAGAGGAAAATGGGGTAATAGGAGGGGTAAAGGGAATGATTGAATGTGTAACAAACATCATCAAAGGGATATAAGGTAAATTTTACCTTTCCCTTTCTTAGATACCCCCAACCACACAGCCCCTTAAGGAGAAAGAAGTTAACCGAGAAAGGGAGGCTATGACATTATCATCCAATTGGTATCTTGGACAAACAGGCTGGTTGGACGAGTTTCAGGTTAAGCTAATCTGCAATTTAGAATCATATTCGGAATAATCCGTTCAATCTAAGTTGTTTTGATTGCAATAATACTTTAGCTATGCTTTTAATTAGTTTATTATTATTATAAATGAAATTTTGCATTAAACCACCTTTTATAACCCTTTTTATTTTTTTCAAGAAACCATCTTATAAATTATTTTTTTTGTAAAAACATACCTTAATCTAAATTTTTTTTTGCAAGACCACACCTTTGGCCGGAAAATAGACTTTGACATTGTATTTCGGGGTTGACCCGGCCACGCGTCTCCCCTGTGACACCCTAAAACCACTAACCCTCCCATTCCCTCCGCCACCCAACCCCAACCCCAGCCCCAGCCCAGCCCCCCCCCCTCCCCCTCCCCAGCCTGTAGTCGGCGACCACCTCTCTTCTTTGTCGCCCGCGACCATATCCCCTCCCTTTCCCCATTCCCGTCCTTAAACCTAACCCTCAAGCCCTAAACCTAATTCCCAAACCCATTTTTCTACCTTTGTGAAGCGCAACATCCATGGTGGTTGACGAACAACGGAGTTTGGGTCTGGGTCAATAAATCGAACGGTGGCGCTATAGGTGGAAGAGGAGGAGAGAATTCAAGGGCGGTGCTTTAGGAAAGTGGGTGGTGGTGGATCTCGGGATTCGGGTGGTGAGAGTGAAGGAAGTGATGGTGGTTAAGTGGAAGAGGAGGAGAGAGAATTCGTGGGTTGGGGAAAAGGGAAGGGAGCAGGATCGTCGGTGCCGAGGTAGGGAGATGGTCGCCGGCGCCAGTAGCTAGCAGGGTAAGCTGGCAGGCAGTGGGTGGGGGAAATTGGTTGGTTGGGTTTTTGGTTGGCTATGGAAAGTGGTTGGCCGGAAAATTGGTTAAGTGGTTTTAGAGTGTTATGTGTGAGGGTCAAAGTCTGTTTTCCAGCCAAGGGTGTGGCCTTGCAAAAAAAATAAAAAAAGATTAAGGTGTGTTTTTGCGAAAAAAACTTTATAAGGTGGTTTCCTACAAAAATATGGTTATAAAAGGTGGTTTAATGTGAAATTTCCTATTATAAAATTTTAATGATTATAGGTCATATTATGTTTTAATCTGATCAAATCTAATTGGATCTTGTCAATTTCAATTCCAGATACAAACCAAGTTGTCTTGCTTTAGGTAAAAGTCTAGTAAATTTTATCACTGATGAGGAGATGGGAAACAGATTAATCTTGCAACTCAGATCTTGGTGCACCTAATAAATAAAAAAGAGAGAGAGGGAGAGAGAGAGAGAATACAATAGTAGTCAACCAAAAATGTCAATTAATTTTTTTTTTTTTCCTTAAAAAAAGATCTGCCCAAGAGTTGATTTTAATAGTGACCAAAAACACTACCTGTCTACTTGAAATATGCTCCTCTCATGTCTCATCTGACCTTCCAGTTTCTCCTCTACCAAAATTCCCAAGGAGGAAAAAAAATACAGCCTATAATTTTGGGGACAACCCTTTTGGCTACCAATAAGAACACTCCTGTAGAGTACTTCGACTTAGGTCATTGGACAAACTTTATAGTTTCATACTCAAAATTAGAGTAATATGCCAAAACAGAACCCTCCAAAAACATTTTGTGGGGAGCTGTGCCTATTGTTTTGAACTTCCACCCTCCCACCTACTTTCTAGTTTAATAGTTACATCATATGTTTACACTTACCAAGAAACCATAAGATAAGCAATATCATTACTCGGCTTCAGTCAGCTTTAAAGTTCCAGTTCAAAATGGAAACTTATAAACCTATGACAAGATAATAATTTACATTATCATGCACTTAAATAACAAAAACCGTTATATTATCAATATGTTCCATATCTATCACTGTTTAATTCTGATTTGAAGGGACAGTGACTATAACCAACATAGAAAATCTTGACTAAATTTGTTGTCTGCACAGCTTAACAATTAACATCCAGACATTAAAGACAACAGTGTAGAAGAAGGTTTATAAAAGAAGACCACTTCTAAATACATAATTAGAGGGACCGATCAGGTGGCACAGTCATACCTGGGTATGAAAGAGGGGCATTCATGGACTGCATGTAAAGGGAATCTTCTGTTAGCTTGGACAAAATCAGATCAATAGCTCGCATCTGTTCCTCAAAAGAACCTGTCAGTGTGACAACTCGATCAGTCAACCCAATATAGTTATTGTCTTGGGGAGAAATCTTTATGCCGGCTTGAGAGTCTTCAATAATCGACCTGTTTACAGTAAAATTCTAGCTCAGAAACCAAACCTTGGAAGGCAATGCCTACCATAAACCATTAGGTGAACTAATACATACAACCTGGTAATAAAAAAAAAATCGTTAATGAGATACTACAAAAAACAACTGATGTCAACACATGCACACATAAATGCGTGCACAACACATCCTGAAAGGATTTTTGCATGTGCCTTTTAAACTATAGATAATTAGATACTATATACAGTTCATACAATATACAGTTCATGTTAACAGTTTTGCAATTCATAACCTCCTCTTCTCTTTCCCTCTGATTTCAAACTTCCTAAATAATAATTACACTTAAACAATAACTACATAGACCAAGGAGGACAGAAAACAGAGCGTTAAAAGTGGGGTATGTGTAAGAAAAGTAAGGGAGCATTTGTTTGGGGTATTTTAGAAAGGTTAAGAGGATTATCAGATAAATTTTATCATTCCTTTTCCCCTCTCCTAACAGCCAAGGTCATCTACACCTATTCCTTCCCCCCACCCCGCTAATGTTTCACTCACTTTTTTCTCATCTAATCCATAGTCACATCTACCCATCTTTGACCAACATTGACCAACAACGCCACACAACACTACACAATGCAAGATTTGACCACTACAGTCATCATCATCCGAACCCTCCAACCTAACCACCAATAAATGGGTTGAAGTAAGGAAAAAATGTATTAAATGGGGTGTGCATAAGAATAACTCCATAATTCAGGGAAAAGCAAAAAAGGAACGGACAAAGTAAGAAGCATAACCAACAGAAAGGAATAAGGGTAGTACATATCATTCAAAATAAAGGTTCCCTAGTAACAGTCAAAGTGTCGGGTAATGATTTCACACGCATATACATGAGTTAAATCAATTGTCCAACATGTGTAATTTAATTAAATGAAGAGTCCAAATAACATAGCTTCTCTTTCCGAATCAGAAACATTAAAGCAAAGATTAATAAGCACATACAGAACTAAGAAAGTGACGAAATACAACGAAGACAAATATGTATAAAGTAGATTGGTTATGTAACAGATATGTCATAGTTCTCATCACCAAGCATTTAGACTTTTATCCCTCCATGGTTCTTTGCACGATTCTGTTTATACAAACCTTCATTATATATCATGACTTGTTTATAATTATCACCATCCTTAGTTTTCTTATATTAGATTTTATCATTTTCATTTGTTACATGTTTTTATTCTTTACCTTCACTTTGTATCACATTAATTCCTGTCCCAAATTGAAATAAATAGGGGGGGGGGGGGGGGAGGGCAAACTACATTCTGAATTTCATGAACTCTGATGTGCCAATGGAGAGAATTATTTGATGTACAAAATTAACCAATTGACTAACCAACCAAAACTGTACCTAGCTTTGTAATATTAAATAATTCGTGCAGAAGTTAAAAGTTTACCAGTATATGCATATGATCAGAAAAAAAAAATGCAATTGGGGAAACTTCCAAGATTAAGAAAATCTGATATGACATACTTTATGGTGGCTCCACTCTTGCCAATAATGGCACCACAGCAGTTATTTGAAACTACAAGTCTAACTTTAGATCTTTGGTCAGCATCATCACCATCTTCAGATTGAATCTGATCAACATTAAATTTCTGAGAAGAATTCATTCACTATGTTGCAAATTTCTTAATTTTCCAGCACGACTTTACCTCACTAAGCAATTTGTTGAGAATAAGGTCCATAGCCTTCAATACATCATCAATCTTTCCAGATATCATAATTATTCTGTCAGCTGTCCCGGGATAGTATTCCTGATTGCGTGACAACTGAATTCGAGCCCCAGAATCTTTCTGAAAATCAGTGATCATTGACCCACCTTTGCCAATAACTGAGCCAGCGGCAGCATTTGAAACAAGGAACTTGAGATATGTAGGCTTATCCATGTCTTCTATATATACATACATACATAATCATTAATATAAACAGTATATCATCAGGAAAAAAAATATGTAGCAACAACATTAACATTTCTTTGCTGAAACACGCAGCAGATTTAATTATAAAAATACATAAACATTCATGATTCCAAATTACTCAGTTACTCATATGCTCAAAACAATGGTTTTAGTTGTTCTCATTTAATAACCAAAGATAGGGGTTGAGTAACAATCAACAGATGAAGCAGCAAACTGGAAAAGTGAAGCAGCAATGAAGCTGCAACAAACAAAACTAAATGGAACTGAACCATTGTTGGCTAATAAAAAAACAGGTAATTAATGTTATCAGTTTCGTCAAATTATTTTTCTTGGTGAAAAAGGTCCTAGCCACAGAAAATATCTTCTTACCTGTTCTAAGATCTACAAGTCTACAACCCTTCTCAGTTTACTACACAGTATTTGGAATGCAGACAAGAACTGACAAGTCCCGAATCTAGGCTTCTTCATTGTAAATTATTTAAATTACCAATAAATTAAACATTTAACATTTAAGTTGCAAAAAAGAGTACATACATATATGATTGTCTTTATTATTCATTTGCATTAGATAACTTTCATACTAATATATGATTCAGATAATATATTCATATTTATTGTTACGAGTACTCACGGTATCAAGCTGCTCAATACGCAAACGCTCATCAATATATTAATCAGAATGCATCTCTTATTACAGCCCATAAGTAATATGGAGTAACAATAATCTCTGAACTATTTTTTTGATAAAAACACAGCTGCAAATAATCTATTGATCTCATAATCCAGCATTATTAGCTCTCATTTTGCATCCTCATTAAAAATTTCACCTCCACCCTATCCTCGACTTCGTATAACATTACTTCCTTCGAAATCTCTCAATTTATGAATGGCTAATCCAGACAAAGGAATACAAGTAGTAAATTTGGGAACAAAAATTCCATTTACATAGTTTCGTCCTATAATTTAAGGGTTTGCAGCACATTAGCAAACAAATTTGACTCAATTATCAAATTAAATCCTTCTCGCTTCAGAATATCACTACCAAAATTCAAGCATTTCAGTGAATAGATTATAACCAATAGTTCAACAATCAATTCACCTTAGAAGAACCCTAAATTGAATCTAATCAACGATTAACATTAGATTGTGAAATTGATATTCGACGATTAAGAAAGACATCTTACCCTAGGCTTCAATTGAAGAGAGAAAGGTCAGAAAGCTGCTTTCAACGCAGAATTCAGAGAGCCGCTTCAATGGAGGAAAGAGACAGGGAGGGGTGCACGTGAAAAGCTCCAATATCCTCTTAATTCACACTCCTTTCTTTCATTTATTTATTTATTAAATAGAGCCGGTCTCTTGCTGGGGTTATATTTCCCAGCACGGGGGTGTTTTGGTATTTTTGCATGGGCTTCAATTTAAGATGTATGTATTGCCACTATTCTATACGTATCACACTACTAATATATAATATGCCTCCCCCGTTTCTCGTTGGTTCAATTCCCGCTTTTCCTTTCTTCTACTCTCTCTCTTCTTTGAAGCGAGCTCTGTAAATCTGTTCATTTTCTCATCTCTTCTCTGATAATCTGAATATTGTTGAGTAATTGAACTCTTTCAATTTTAAAGAAGACCGTGTGGATTGTTGGGGAAAGTGATTTTTTATCAGAAGTTCTTCGACGAAAGAAAAATTTAGAGAATTTCGTGCGCAATTGATCGACGAAAATGAGGTGTCGAGGTGAGTCTCTGAATGATTATATAATTACTGTTACAATTGCATGTGACTTACTTGGTTAGCAAATTTCAAGCTAATACGTTTTTATAAATTTTGAAATTTAGAAATTCCTAATTTTGAAATTTAGGTTGTTGTATGTTCTTAGGTTTTGTTGTTGATATTTTTGCAGTTGTACTAAATTTAGGTTGTTGTATGACCTAAGTTTATACTAAATTTCGGTTTTATACAACAATTTAGTTGCTTTTTACTTGAAATATCAATAAAAACTTAGCAGAATTTAGGGTTTCATGATAATTTGTGATTAGGCTTGTGATAATTTGTGAATTAGGGTATTTACTCCTAAAAGAGGTCCTAAATTAGTAATAAGTAATATAGATTTTAATAAGACTAAAATATAAATGACAAGAATTCTAATAGCAAGTGATATAGATTTTTATTGTGGTTGTAATATGATTGTATTAATAATATAAATGACAAGAATTCTAATAGGTAATAGGTTTTAATATGGCATTTCTTGGCTCATCATTGAGATTATGGCACTGATATTGTTGTTTATAATGTTTAAGCATGCCCTAAAGTAGTCAATGAGGTTAGGTTTGCTCCTCCCTGTAGCTAATAAGTTAGGCTATAGTGATTATGATTGTGTTAGACTTTCAGCAATGATTGAGATCAAAGTAATGGCAACTTTAGTTAATGGTTTTTTTAGTCTAAATTAATTCTGATTGTTCTGATTATCATGTTGGTTCTTGTCGTTGTTTGTTGCAAGTGGGAGAGGTGGTAGTGTTGTGAGAGGTGGGAGAGCTGTGAGAGGAGGTTGGAGAGCTGTGAGAGGTGGTATTGTTGGGAGTCTTGGTAGAGGTTGGGGTGGTGCTGGGAGAAGGGTTGTGAGAGATGAGAGAAGAGGTGGTGATGATACACCTTTTGATCCTAATTTAGAAGAGGAAACTTCATCTGAAACGTATTCTGCGGGTGATAGTGAAGAAGAAAAAGAATCTTCAAGTAGTAAAAATCATAGAGGGGCAAAGTTGCTTTTACCTTTGGCAGTAGACTAACTAACTATACTGTTGTTTTTCCAATGATTATCTATATTTGTTTTGTTTACCAATGTAGGTAAAGGCCAAGGGGAATGCCAAGGGGAAGGCTAAGTTGGTGAAGCCGAAAAGCGTGATAAAAGACATTAATCCGATTATTTACACGGTATTTTTATGAGTTTGCTTTGTATGTGGTTTTATTTAGTTCATTTTGATCGATATCAGCTGTATAAAGTATTCTGAATATCGTTTCTTATTATTTTTGTTTGCAAAAGGATAATTCTAAAAGCGTAGGCGGTAGGCTAAAAGAGGTCGGGAAAGTTATCGAAACGTTCCAACAATACGAGAAGATTGTATGTTTGTTGAGAAATTTGTTGTTTTGTTTTGAAGCATTAATTTGAGACGTTAATGTATTATAAAATTCTGCCTTTATTTTGCAGTCAATGAATGTGAATTGCCCTCTTGAGACATTTGGGAGGGTATTAGGCAAATTTGATGAAACAAAGACTCAAATAGTCAGAGATATGGGTTTTGGTACATTATTTTATGCTGTTGGGAAGAGGTTACCTCGACAGTTGGCATACTGGCTGTGTACTCGGGTAGAGTTGATAAGAAGTGCCTTTGCATGACAGATGGGATGGTTTACCCTTTTTCTTCTATTCAGGTGCATTGGGTTTTAGACCTACCTCACGGACAGAGACTGATACCAACGAAGGTAGTTGATCAGGAGGTAGAGGACAGTTTGTGGATAAAGTACCGCACCATTAACAATTCTGAGACAGAAGGGATAACAAGGAAGACTTTGATTGAAGCTTTGGAGGCTCCATGTACTGATGAGGACGAGTTTCAGTAGCTTTTTGTGTTGCTGATGTTGAATACAATATGTTCAACAACTTGTCATCACATGAAGAAGAAACACCTGCATGCAGCTGCAGTTGCAAGCAGTGCTAAACTATATAACTGGTGCTCTCTCATTTTGGATGAGTTATTACATGCGATGGCAAGCTTTGCTAAAAGGTTTTATAACAATGGTTTTGCCCATGGAAGTGGTGGGTGTACTTTATTTCTGTTGGTAAGTTGACTCCTCTAAAATATCTGAATGTAAACCTTTTTTCATTCATTTAGAAGTCATAAAACTGATGTTGATGTTTGTTTATGTAAAAGCAGTTAATGTATCTTGATAGACTGAACAAAATTTCACTTGAGTGGAATGAGTTTCTGAGGTTAAAAGTATGGACTACGAAGGAGATGAGCAAAGCTTGTAAAGAAGATCGTTTCCCAACGGGTGAATTTGGAAAAAAAAGGGGTAATTGGAATATTTATTTTGTTAAATAGCTACAATCTTATAGTTGTATAAATGTTATTTATTTATTTTTTACTTTGGATAGTGTCTGGACGTTTCGTATGGTGGGGATGCTGGTCACCCGTTGAAGGCAAAAGACTGTTTTCTAGCTAAAAGGAAAAGAGAGGAGGCGGATGAAGTAGTAGCTGATATTGATGATGAGGATTTAGCATGGCTTACCATAGATGTGAAAACCAGAAGAACTCTTGTTAAAGAAGAGTATTCCTTTCAAAGGAAGAAAAAGAAGATAGGAGGTAATTACATAATTTTCTCTTGTTATTGGTATGGTTTGGTTCATAGCGGTTCATAGTTAGTTATATAATTGTTTCATTTTTTTGTTGTAATAAAGAAGTACTGAATGAGGACCCTGAAGAAGAAGGGAGGAAGAAAAGGTATGGACAAGATTAGGTGAGTACAAAGAAGAAGAAGAAGAAAGTAAGGATGACAGCAAGAAAAAGAAATCAGTAGGTAATGTCATATTCTTGTGAAATTAAACATGTTTTCCAATTGGCTTTGTGTCTCAGTAATTGATATTTTTAAATTGGTTATGAATTTGTAGAAAAAAAGGAGGAAGTTGAGGTTGAGGAGAGCAAGAAAGAGAAAGAGAGTGAGGTGAAAGTGAACAAGAAGAAGAATAACAAGAAGAGGAGGAATAATAAGGACAACAATAAGGGTGATGGTGAATATATATTTTTATACTATTGCAACATTTTATTGTCATTTTTTAAATTTACATTGTCATTATGATTAATAATATATTATTTCAGGAGATGAAAAGGAGGAGGAGAGCAAGAAAAGGAAAGAAGAGAAAGAGAATGACAATGAGCATGAGCTTGAGAAGGAACTTGAGAAGGAGTTTGAGAAGGAGCTTGAGAAGGAGCATGAGCTTGAGAAGGAACTTGAGAAGGATCCTGAGAAGGAGCTTAGGCTATAGAAGGAGCATGAGAAGGAGCTTGGGCTAGAGAAGGAGACTAAGAAGGAACCTGATCTAGATAAGGAGCTAGAGAAGAAGCTTGAGAAGGAACCTGATCTAGAGAAGGAGCTAGAGAAGGAGCCTGAGAAGGAACCTAATCTAGAGAAGGAGAATGAGAAGGAGCTTGGGCTAGAGAAGGAGCCTAAGAAGGAACCTGATCTAGATAAGGAGCTAGAGAAGAAGCCTGAGAAGGAACCTCATCTAGAGAAGGAGCTAGAGAAGGAGCCTGAGAAGGAACCTGATCTAGAGAAGGACCTGAGAAGGAGCTAGAGCTAGAGGTTGGGAAGGAGCTAGAGAAGGAACCTGATGTACAGAAGGAGCTTGATCATGAGCAACCATCAATTGATCATGAATCAACTGACCAACCATCAACTGACCAACCAAGTCATATCATGAACATTGAGTCCACAAGTGATAAGTCAGAACTAGATCAATCATTCATTAATGCAATTGTTAAATTTTTTTGGTGTAGACTAGTCTTTGGTTGATGCACCTTTAAGTAGTACGGGCTCGCAGTTTAGTGAAAGCAAGTACCTGGTTGGAAGTCATGAAGCTGATGATGTTGGTGGTGCTTCAGCATTTGCTGTTCCAAAGGGGGGAAGTTGATGTTGAAGGTAATGTTTGTAAGGGGGAAGGTATCCCTGATGTTGAGAAAGAGAACAAGGATGTTCCAAAGGGGGATGGTGATGTTCCAAAGGGGCGAGTTGATGTTGAAGGTGATGCTCCAAAGGAGGAAGAGAACAAGGATGTTCCAACAGCAGAAGAGGAGCTACCCAAAGTGTTAGAGGCAAAGGCTAGTGAAGGTGCAGCCGATGCAGCAAAGGGGTTAGATAGCGTTATCCCGAAGAGCCTTGAGTATTGCAAAGCTACTGCCACCTATGACTCTAAAGATGAATCAGAAACTACAAATGTGCAGAATAAGAGGCACCAACTTAGTAGGAAACAGAGGAAGATATCAGAGCCTCTTACCCTACCTGTTTCGTATATAATCAATGGCGACCAAAGGGTATTCGTCGTTTCAGGGTACCTTTGCGTGATTATTTGGATGAGCAGATGTCATTCAACACAAGAAAGATTAGAAATGATGAGTATGTATAGCCTTGAAAATCTTTACTGTTGATCATCTTTAATGTTGAAAATGTTTAATGTTTCCTTTCATTGTGTATATGATGCTTATATTCATGTGATTCGATGCAGGAATGAACCGACGTTCTTTAGTTGCGATGGTGACTATGTCAAACTTACTTTATGTGGCCATTTGAT